CAAATATTTGGACAGTATATTTACAGAGGATGGAAGAATGGACAGAGAGATAGAAACAAGAATACAGAAAGCAAATGCTGTCACATACCAACTATCACCTCTGCTTAAACATCCAGATATAACCATGAAGACCAAAAGACAATTGATAAACACCATCTTCATTCCAACACTCTGCTACCAGTGCCAAACATGGACAATCAACAAGACCCATGAAAGAAAAATAGAAGCCTGCGAAATGAAATGTCTAAGAAAAGCAGCGAACAAGACCAGACTAGACAGGATAAAGAATATAGACATTAGAAACACTGTCAAAACTACGCCATGTTTAGACTACATAGAACATCAAAGAATGAAATGGTTTGGACATCTAACCAGGATGAAAAATGATCAAATAACATCACAAATTTTCAACCAAAGAAGCTCAGGATATAAGGCAAGAGGAAGACCAAGGAAACGGTGGATTGACGGGGTCTCCGAAACCTGCCAAAAGCATGGCCTCAGAACATCAGATGCTGCCCGCCTTGCTTATGACAGGAACTTGCATCTCCCCACAACGCTTAGCGGCATACGTGGAAGGAAAAAGTAAAGTAAAAGTATGGAATTCAATGTACGGATGGGAACGATGTGATATATATTTTTGATTATGATTACCGATTATAAATAACAAAAATTGGACTCATGTTGCTTGCGTTACGAAATAGCCGCATGGTATTGCATTTTCTGCCACGAACTAAGCCGCGGAAACTGATAAAGCGCACGGTATTTAAGTTTTGTTGTTGTTGATGCGGTGAATCGTGAGCTCTACACATTATTGTAAAATATGTCTGTGTATACTAGAAGCGTTCAGAATGCCACCAGTCCGGCGAAAGACGGCAATAATCTTTTGGACAGAGCTGGATAAATGACCATCTTTATACTCAGAACAGAACAACCATGTCTCAGCAGCCACACATAATCAGAATGCTCTCAGTACATTGATTAGCGATTGATGCTTCAAGTTACTTTATACCAAAGGCGTCGGAACCTGGACAGGGCGCAGGCTATGCACTAAAGCCAACATGGAAGGAGACAGTTACGCGACCCTTTCCACAACCACATAGATGCTTATTTTTTTTTTACTTGGTTATACATATCTTAATAATTCAAGTATACTTGTGCGCTACTCAGAATATTTTTGCATAAATAATAATGATTTTTTTAAATACGCATTTAAACCAGGTTTAGGCCTATTGGGGGGCCCCTCCCCCATGTTGTCTTTGAATCAAAGCAGCACGTGTTTAATACTAACAAACATTATCACAGACTATTGAGGCATGCCGGTAACCTCAGGCGTCCAGGGAGACACAACTGCTCCAGTGTGAGGCCGCCTCAAAATCCAAGATGGCTTCTGTTGGCTGAAACATTATTCCGTTTACAAGAATCGGTGTCTGTAGGTCTCCATGTTCAGAGGATGTGTTCTGGAGGTGTTCCCTTCCACTTGTTTTACCACAGTTAATCAAAGGGCTGTGCTTCTCATCGGGCTGTGCTGATATTGAATCTCTTCTGAATTCGTCATCAGCAACATTTATGGCTGTCAAACAAATAAAAATTAGTCAACAAACAAGTTTTAAGAAGTAGCGTATTCTTCTTCTTCTTCGGCATTCCAACCCTTGAGGTAAGTTGCTGCAGATATCACCAGCCTCCATTTATCTCTCCGGTTGGCCTTCTTCAGTATTCCGAGCCCTTGAGGTTCATTGCTGCAGATATTCCCCGCCTGTATTCATCCCTCTGGTTAGCCTTCTCTTTCCAGTTGGTAACATTGCATTAAAGTAATGGATTCGTGAACTTATTTTTCAAATCATTGAGCAATTCGTGACATTTGGCATAGATTTTTCTGCCTGCTAACATTTGTTATCGGCATCTTTATTTGTCTTAATCAACGCTTCTTATGTTATCAACTATTGTGCCTAATAAGTAGGCAATGCAAAGTGTTTTACACAATTTTTACATTCTAGGTTCGGTCGGAACATACAAGAGAAATCAGGCTCGATATATGGAACAAAATATATTTATTATTAAACTCATTGACACACAAAAGCTGAAAGTGTTCGGCCAGGTAATGTGCGAATAAATCCAACGATGATGGCAACACTGGCGTACAATATGAGAATTTACACATCAAAGAGCAGACGAACAATTTAAAAAAAAAAAAAATGAATGAGTCACTGACAGCTTAAGACTTGAAGACATCACATCGAACCACACGACTGAGCCACGACCTCCTCCAGCTGACACACCGTGCTGCTGACGTCACCGGGTCGGGCTAACGATGCGTTAACGCAGGTGTTCTCAAATAAGAAATAACCTATTTTCGACAGGGGCGAGGGAAAACAACTTACATTTTAACGTTTAAGTATCTACATGTCTTCTTTAATAAGTTCACAATCTTCAGCCAACTTTTCTTGATTATCGCCGCGGAAACCCTGGCGTACGCGTGCCTCGGCACCCAGGTGGAGAACCGCTGCGTTAACGCATCGTTAGCCCGAATCGGTGACGTCAGCGGCACGGCCCGTCAGCTTGAGCCGGTCGTGACTAAGCACTCCCTGGCTACCAATCTTTGTCAAACTGTGACACCTGGCAGCACAAAATCCTGGCAGTACAAAATTCTGTCAGTACAAAGTCCTGTCAGTACAAAGTCCTAGCAGTACAAAGTCCTAGCAGTACAAAGATCTGTCAGTACAAAGTCCTGGCAGCACAAAGTCCTGGCAGTACAAAATTCTGTCAGTACAAAGTCCTGGCAGTACAAAGTCCTGTCAGCACAAAGTCCTAGCAGTACAAAGTCCTGTCAGTACAAAGATCTGTCAGTAAAAAGTCCTGCCAGCACAAAGTCCTGGCAGCACAAAGTCCTAGCAGTACAAAATTCTGTCAGCACAAAGTCGTGGCAGTACAAAATTCTGTCAGCACAAAGTCTTGGCAGCACAAAATTCTGTCAGTACAAAGTCCTGGCAGTACAAAGTCCTGGCAGCACAAAGTCCTGGCAGTACAAAGTCCTTGCAGCACAAAGTCATGGCAGTACAAAGTCCTGGCAGTACAAAATTCTGTCAGTACAAAGTCCTGACAGCACAAAATTCTGTCAGTCCAAAGTCCTGGCAGCACAAAGTCCTGGCAGTACAAAGTCCTGGCAGTACAAAGTCCTGGCAGTACAAAGTCCTGGCAGTACAAAGTCCTGGCAGTACAAAGTCCTGGCAGCACAAAGTCCTGGCAGTACAAAGTCCTGGCAGCACAAAGTCCTGGCAGTACAAAGTCCTTGCAGCACAAAGTCATGGCAGTACAAAGTCCTGGCAGTACAAAGATCTGTCAGTATAGAGTCCTGGCAGCACAAAGTCCTGGCAGCACAACATTCTGTCAGTACAAAGTCCTGGCAGCACAAAATTGTGTCAGTACAAAGTCCTGGCAGTACAAAGTCCTGGCAGTACAAAGTCCTAGCAGTACAAAGTCCTGGCGGTACAAAGTCCTGGCAGTACAAAGTCCTGGCAGTACAAAGTCCTGGCGGTACAAAGTAGATATGAAACAAGAAGAAGAATCAATAAATATTGCTATTGTGTGCCTGGGATGACCCATGCAGAGTAGCGGAGCATGACTATAAATTCTGCCGTGGCAAAAATCATGACTGCGTCACTGCTCTGGCCGAGCGGCTATCCGTGGGTTCGCTCCCTGGTGTAGCCAGACTTTTTTCAAAAATGACTTTGAGTGGTTACCGGGTGCAGTCCCAGGAAGTATAGGCGGCCGGCGTGATACTGACGACATCACTTATCCTGTACCCATTGGTCTATAAAATATAGATCTAGCCCCATATGCCCTTTACGCCTAGAGGCGTGGAAAGGGGTCCTTCACTTGCTTTACTTTACCCATTTCAGCACAGAAAGCCGTCTGCAGACACGTATACTGGAAGCGCAGTAGCTAACATGCTCATCTGCCAACCCGAACGTCATATGTTCAAATTCCCATGCATGCGACAATATGTGTAAAACTATACTAGGCTCAAAGGTTCTAGCAGTCTGTCCACATCCTCATGCGGTCGTGTCGTTATCCTTCGCAAAGGGCTCACAGTCTAGGCCTTCATTACGTTCTTTCTCGTGTAGTCCATCAGAAATATCATTATCATCATCATCATCCTCCTCATCATCATCACGTGCCCTGCTGACTGCCATTTGCATCTCTACAGATCTCTGTCCCTTGTCCTCTGGATCAGTTCCACCGATATGCCTCCGTGCCACAGTCGCAATCCATCTGTCATCAGTTCTCGCTGTCTGCCTCTCCTTCTACCGTTGATCTTCGCAGTCGTCACAATATTCTCCAAAGCCTTCCCTATTATCACATGATCAAAGAAACGTGCTTGTCATTTTCTCACAGCTGTATATATTCATGCGCTTTCAATCGCTTCTTTTCAGCAATAATCTTTAGATACTATGGCAGTCAAATGGATTCTCAACATTCAGCTGTGTAACAACACCATAGTCGCCTCCAAATTCTTTCTAATGTGTACATTCACATTCCGTGATTCACTACCAGACAGCAACGTAGGTTCTATTTAACATTTTAGTGCTGTCTTTCTAACATTCAAAGAGGGGGACCAGTTGCACACTATGTTCTTCATTTTGTGAAATGCAGCCTCAGCCTGGTCCATTGTTCTCTCAAGTTCTGCTACGCATCTTTCGTCTGATGTTATGATTGTACCTAGATAATAGAATTTATCGACGTGAATTAACTATTTACCTTCTATTCTAATACCTCACTACGGTGGTATTCAGTTTTATTTTAATTTAAAATCTAGAGGACAGAACCCCCATGCCCTCACTGCAATGTCCAATAATTGAGCCTAAAAATGGAAATCAGGAAATATTATTGAAAGTCAAATCGACAGGCGTGATATTGACAGAACTCAGTGGTCTATAAAAAAAAACATGGCGCTAACATCATATACCCTGTACACCTATAGGCGTGAACATGGATCCCTTGTTTTATAAAGCATACTTACACAGATGTCCATTGAGTTCCCCTGAAGGTTTGGCCCAGTCCTGGACGCTGACCTTGCCCAGAAATAAGAACACCAGAGCACCAATCAAAGAGAAGGCAGCGACTATGTAGAACATGATCCTCCATTGTTCCTGTGACTTCTGCAAGAAGTAAAGTGAATAAGCGTCAGTCTGAATGTGGTTTGTGCCGTGATTACAGTTAGGCAAAATAAAATGCGACTAGATAAATACAAACACTTTATAATTATAAAGACTTCTGGCCAAAATGGCCGATAACCTGACTGGCTGTTGAAGCTTTAAAAAGTTATTTGCTTTTAGTTAGGCTTTGCTGATGCTAGCTTCCAATTTCTGGACAAGGAGTCAAAAGTTCCGTCGCCAACTACTGAGCTGAGTGTCTGGTGCGACACTGTTAGTTGTTGTGGGATGTTTTTTTTTCTAATCGTGCGCACGACGTACTAGACTAGGTTAGTTGTGTATCCTTTACAGGACGTTGTAGAAGCAACCCCAACAGCCCGTAGCAGTTGTGTGGTTTTTCTAGGCACATTTACGTCCAGTAGTTTGCCATTGCTTTCTGGACGATCAGCTTTGTTAATACCACTGTCGAAACCAACGCAAGGCGCATGGCCCGCAGCAGGGATCGAACCCGGCATCCCGGCATTACGAAGCGTTCGCATTGACTTAGCCACAGAGGTGACCACTAGACTAGACCGCACTAAAATAACTGGTGCCAGAATACTTTCAGAATGACGTCGTGTACTTTTTCGGGTGCAATTCCATCTATCGCGAACGATCGCTTGCATCAACAGATAGCTGCAATTCTGGCGGGGTACCTTGTTTTTTGCACATGCTGACAGATGCCTTACATATTCTTACTTTGCTTATGAAAGCTTAACGATTTTGCTGGGGCCGACAAGTTTTTCGTTTGTTTTCAAATACAATGGTCAGTAAGGGACATCCAGTGGGATTTCCATCGACACAGGAACTTACCAAGGGGCATCATGTCTGTAGTTATACTGGAATCTCAATTTACTAATTACATAATGTATCAATAGGTAAAAACTGCACCTGCCGTGAACACGTTTGTGGAGCTGCAAACTCTTTTGCTTCTCAGAATATAGATCGTGGTCTATTATGTCAATCCAGGAGTGAGCATTTTTCTAACCTAACTCGTCTCTAGGAGCTGCTTTAACTTTTGGAACTTAGTCCCAACTTACAGTCTAACATCCAGTTGTAATAAAACACTCGGATTTCTTCTGCAACTTCTTTGGCACAGGCCTGCATGTTCAATTCCGAACCCTTTGAAAATAACGTTCGTTCGTTCGTTTTCTCTGTTTGTTTAACTCATATATACAGAAGTCACTTTGATACAATATGATACAACATCATCATCTGATGATGATTTGTTGCATTAGTTTATATCTGATTTCCCATCTTATATGGGGAGGGAGGGGGGGGGGCGGAGAGGTCTCGAGGCATGGCGTCTGCCTCGAGTGCTGGAGGTCCAAGGTTCAAGCCCAGGTGAAGGCTGGGATGTTTTCTCGTGGACTTCTAGTAATTTCTCTTGGTCTCTGGGTAGCAGGATCAGACGCCCGTGTTTGACCCATTGGCAGTTGGAAATAAAAAAAAAGTAGCCTAATGACGCTGCTCAGACACAAATTTGGAGTTACAAATTTACGCAAAGTATTTCAGGATCCTCACTGGGGCTACAAAGTTCGTGCACTGCGCTAAGATTTTACGGACTTGGATTGAGTTAAAAGTAGAACGGAGCATATATGGGTTACTACCCTTGTTCCGTGATGTTGATCCGTCGTCTATTCCTAAACCTTATCTCCCTTACAATGATCAGTCAGAGCTTTGTAATTAAGACTCATGGTAATAAGTCGACTGCAGTTTCCGTCCTGTACGTTCAGTTTTGATTCTTTCAGACTGTATCCTGAATACCCTTTCTGACCACTTAAACTTGTACAAACGGATGTGAGTCATGGACTATCTCGCACAAATTAAGGAAGATAATAGTGGCTTTGGAGCTGAAGTGCTATAGAAGAATTCCCATAATAGCATGGAAACAGAAGACAGGAAATACTGGCATTTTGGAAGAGTTGAACGTCAAGGGAGATTGCCTAGTAAACAGCAACTTGTCTCGGAAACGCAAGTATTTTGGCCATATCAAGTGCCACTGCGGGTTGGAGAAAAATATTAGCAGAAGCCATGGTACCAAGAAGGAGAGGCATGAGCCGACCAGCATGAAGATATACTTCGGATGTAAGTGACACCTTTGATAGGAAAGTTCACGAGGCTGGAGAACTTACGAGAATCCCAGTTTCTTTCAGGCAGGCTAATGAGAGCGACGTTCTGCGAAGGACCTGCTACATGATGATTGTGTGTGTGTGTGCATATATATATATATATATATATATATATATATATATATATATATATATATATATATATATATATATATATATATATATATATATATATATATATATATGATGGCGTGTATAGCTCCGGCGTCCTAAACTGATCCTTCTATGCATGATTCTAATTTATTTTAGCGTATGGTATCTTTCCCCTTATCACAGACAGTACATACTAGCTTTGCACAGCAATCTGGGGCTGTGGGGGGGGGGGGGGGGGGAGCAGAATTCAGTTAACTGAAATTTGCTATCTCGTCAGGGAATACAGTTTGAAATATTGATAAGCGGTGACTCAACAAGCCACAAATCGGATGGGAATCACTCAGAAACAAACACAAGAATTCCCGCTCAACTGTTATACTGAGGCACTTGATGAAAGTTAAGTAACCTGCCATCCAGTCTGTGTGGGTGGGTGGTTGGGTGTTATTTGTAAATGAGAATTAGGTGATTATTTCCCTGCAGAATTGAATGTCGGACAAACACCTCAGGGATGAGAATCAAACAGATACAAATCCTAGAAACCATGTTCAACCGTATAAAACTGTTATATTATGGCATCCGAAAACTATTCAGTAACCTCAAGTCCCGACCAGTCTAGGACTGGGAGACATCTTGAGAAGATGACTTAATAAAATTCAGTTGATTCAAAGGATATTTTGAGGCTCCCCTCCCCTACCCCTTTTTCCACCGAAAAAGAAAAAAAAATCATTCAATGGCAATGTATGGTGCGTATGTGCCTTTACACACTCCTTCCCCTTTTTTCCCCTCACGTGTTGCTACCTAAAAAGCTTGACACCTTGAGATCACTTGACACCTTGAGATCACTTGACACCTTGAGATCACTTGACACCTTGAGATCACCTGACACCTTGAGATCACTTGACACCTTGAGATCACTTGACACCCTGAGATCACTTGACACCTTGAGATCACTTGACACCTTGAGATCACTTGACACCTTGAGATCACTTGACACCTTGAGATCACTTGACACCTTGAGATCACTTGACACCTTGAGATCACTTGACACCTTGAGATCAGACACCTTGAGATCACTTGACACCTTGAGATCACTTGACACCTTGAGATCACTTGACACCTTGAGATCACTTGACACCTTGAGATCACTTGACACCTTGAGATCACTTGACACCTTGAGATCGCTTGACACCTTGAGATCACTTGACACCTTGAGATCACTTGACACCTTGAGATCACTTGACACCTTGAGATCACTTGACACCTTGAGATCACTTGACACCTTGAGATCGCTTGACACCTTGAGATCACTTGACACCTTGAGATCACTTGACACCTTGAGATCGCTTGACACCTTGAGATCACTTGACACCTTGAGATCACTTGACACCTTGAGATCACTTGACACCTTGAGATCACTTGACACCTTGAGATCACTTGACACCTTGAGATCACTTGACACCTTGAGATCACTTGACACCTTGAGATTACCATCGGGATGGCAGGCTAATTGGACCTGAAGGTTTGACACAAGAATCTCAGTACTGATGGCAGAATAGCAAGGCAGATCCAGACAGCCCGTTCAACCTCCAGGGAGGTTATCATAAGGGCACCAGTAACGGCTACATCAGGCGGTGCAGCCTGCAGTCTTGTCCGGGCAAGGATGACGAAGAGAGATGGAGGTGAGATTGAGTTGGAATTCAATCCAGATTAAGTAAATGAAACGGAACCCCTCTAGGACTACGCGATCAGGGCCTGGTGAGTCAAAGAGCCACTATTGGGATGAAAATCTCACAGAATCCCCATTTAACGCTATGACGCAGTAATATCGGCGGTGACAGAAAAATAACTTGCGTTAGGTGCATTGTGGTGGGTTCCAGTTGCAGTTTGTTGCCTCCAGGACTGCATTCTGCAGGATTTCCACCTCAAGGATGAGAATCCCGGTAAGCCCTGTTCAAAGGTAAATGTGTTAGGGCTCCCGACAGGTATGAAGTGATTGAAGTCCTGACCAGACAGGGGGTGACAAAGTGGCAAGAAAAACTTACATCGAAAACAATTGCTGAAGTCACTAAAGGTGCTGTCAGTGACACTGCTACAGCTATTGTGTTTGACAAGGCCAGGATAAAAGAGGCGTACCTGGAAAGAAAAATTAACGAAATCATTTATGCATTTTCACTATGACTATTTCCATTATTGATGGCAAACAAGAATAGCAAAAGTGTACATGAATCCCAAAACAAATTATACCAAACAAGCTTGATAAAGGAGGTTTTATGCCTTGTACAGCACAATACCCAGCTCCAGTTACAAAACATGTTATAACAGCGTGTAATCATGCTAAATTAAACATTTGATTTTATTTTCTTCGGTCGCCCTCACAGAAGCGGTTAACAGTTTTTGTTATGGTCTCCAGTTAGGTTGCGATATGTGCTCCTTTCGGTAACACACCATCCGATTTCAGTAAATAATTTATTAGTTGCCTATTAAGGGCGTTTGCTCTGTCCCACCCCCTCCCTAGAGGGCCAAACACCCATACGAGGAACTACGGAAGTCTAAAGATTTAAAAAAAAAATGAAATATTTGTCAGCGTTACAGAATAAATCACAACAAATAAACAAAAGACACTGCGGCGATTAGCCTTCATCAGAAGAACGACGATAAGACTGAAAATACATCACAAAAATGCACTGAACTTGCATTAACAATATTAGCAAGATGTGCCGTTGTTAGCCTTCTTGCTTGACGGTGCAATAGCTGTGTGTTGGAATCTCCGTCACAGTAGTTTTTATTTTATTTTTTATTATTTAGTTTTGTTTCCAGGTCCCTGCAGCTGCAGCCTAATGTGAGCTCTTTAAAATTGTCTTTCTGTGAAATAAGCAGCATGCCTGAGACCAACCATGTTAAAAACAACGGTGTGTTGATTGGAGTATTCGAATATTTGACTAGTACCATCTCTCTCTCTCTCTCTCTCTCTCTCTCTCTCTCTCTCTCTCTCTCTCTCTCCCTCTCTCTCTGACACACACACACAAACACACATATCCGTCTGTCTGTCTGTCTGTGTATGTATGTGCGTGCGTATGTATGTATGTATGTATGTATGTATGTATGTATGGATGGATGGATGGATGGATGGATGGATGGATGGATGGATGGATGGATGGATGGATGGATGGATGGATGGATGGATGGATGGATGGATGGATGGATGGATGGATGGATGGATGGATGGATGGATGTAACAAATACACATATAGGCGTGAAAAGCGTCTATCGGTTCCTTGTTCAGAAACATTTCCTAAGACAATTTAGGACAACTATACTGCATCCTGTAGAGAACAGAAATTGCTTTAAGGACATTCTCAGAACTCTTCTATCTGTCGGCATTAAACAGAAACATGAGAGGCTGATCTAGATGGCATACGGTCGTCAAGCATGCCAGGCAAGGTAGACTGCGCCGGCAGTGGGACAGCAGCAGACTACCAACAACAACAAATACATTGTGAAAAATCCCGCGTCTACTATTGGGGTCATCTGCTGTCGGCACTGTTCAAGAGCTTTTCAATCTGACACTGGACTCACTGGTCATCCTTGTGGACACTCATGAAACCTTTCTGTTTTTGGATGCTACGTGGTCTTCATCACGTGTGATGGACATACACCACGGCTGTCTCCTCCATCCATTCAACAGTGGCCCCAATAATGTTGTAACCACTCAAAGCAATTACAATACTATGATCATCAATCCATTCACGATTGTCATTTACGGTTTTAGTCATTTAACAATTCCGTTGCTTTTAAAACAATCTTCTTCTTCTTCTTCATTTCCTCTTTTACCGCTGTGGGTGTCGAGGGAGATATAAGGTTCTGTCTCTAGCTCTTCTGGCCGCCTCGACCATAGGCACATCGTGCTTTTAAAACAATAACAATAAAGAATTCAACTCACTAACTGCTGTGTGTCTTTAAGAAAACATCACTAGTTCATGCAAGTATTTTTCATCCTTCCACCTATTCCTCTTGATGGGCTCACCTTGGGGCGATTTCCAAAGGATTGATTCTGTAGGCAACAGTGGTTATGTTCTGTGCGGTAACAGCCAAGATCAACATGACCACGGCCAAGTCTCTGGAATGAGCGTCTAGGAATGAGACTACCATAGTGCAGGCAGCACAGCCCAGACAACCTGCAAACAGATACTGCCATCGTTAGGCTTGGACATTTACAAAAGCAAGTAGACGTTGCTTCAGATCTCTACTGTTTAGCTTCTGTATCCTCTTCTTCTGCTCTACATTTTTCAAAGAATTAAACGCCTTCAACCAACTCATGTTAAGCCCCTTTTCAGACTTGGTTAAAACTACACGTAAGAAAGTAAGAGACCCTTTGTTTGCCAGTGACGCATTAGTCATCATCATTATCATCGTCGTCATCATCATCATCGTCATCATCATCATCACTGTTCTGATGAGTCATTGTATGTTATCGTATATTCTGTTGTATCATGTGCAATCTCTTCGATATTATGGGTGGAATTCATTACAGCACCTTTGGCCTCTCTCATCAACGTCCGTTTTAGGATTTCTTCTGTAACCCCTTACATCCTCGATCTCTTTATTTCCCATTCTAGTTCTGTCTGATTATTCTCTGCTAGTGTCTTTTCATGATATGTCCAATATAGCACCATCTTCTTTTCTGACGTACACATGAAAATTGTGTTGTTTGATGTTTTGAAAAGCTCTCGTTACTCATTTATTAACTGAGTTATTAACAGTTATTTTGCTGACTCTTTGCTTTGAATTGGTGTCTGTAATTTCATATGCGGCAAATAAGAGGAAATGAAAACAACATGTTTGTAAAATTGAACACATCACATGTTTATTAACCTTTGCATACCGGCATTGCACTCCGACTTCAACACTGAAGGGTACTGAATTAACGGTTTTTAAAGTTGGGCACGATTTCTGGAAGCGACTATAAAACGGGATGTAGATAGGTTCCACCAACTGTTGTGGTGTACCAGGACTAGAGACTTTTCTTTACGCCCGTAGTGGCTATATGATGTTAGACATTTGTTAGACCGAACGGTATTAGCATGTTAATGTTGTCAGCATCACGCCGGCCCACTTTACTTCCCATGGCACTGGCTGGGTCTGAACTAATAGACCTGGGATGACCTAGGCGTCACTGTCATTTTTGAAATAATGCAACCTGATGCGGATTCGAACCCAGTACCTTTAGGCTAGCGTGCTTTTCTCTACTACACTGCGACAGTTTCCAAGTCCTCTCATTAGGGATGTAATAAACTGGATTCTTTTTAGGTTCCACCAACTCTTCTTTTCTTCTTCTTCTTTTTCTTCTTCTTTACGCCCGTTTTCTTATTTTTTGTAGACTTTTTCTTAGAACGAACGGTATTCTTATTTTTCTTCTTTTCAGCATCTTCTTCGGCCTACTTCTTCTTCCCATTCTTCTTCTTCTCTTCTTCTTCTTAGGCTGGGTCTTCTTCTTCTTCTTCTTCTGACCTTCTTCTTCTTCATTTTTGAAATAATTATTATTATATTATTATTCGAACCCATTACCTTTATTATTTTAGCAGGCTTCTTTTCTCTACTACACTGCGACAGTTTCTTCTTCTTCTCATTAGTGATTCGATATGTTTTCTTCTTTTTCTTCTTCTTCTTCTTCTTCTTCTTCTTCGCGTTCACCCGCTGTAAACTCTGGCAGAAAGTTTTGGTTGTTCATCCACTTCTGGACTCTAGTCTTGTTTCAGAAACTTAAGGTTGCGTGCACATCCGTTTCACAGGTCGATTGCTTGTCGCTCCCCTCGCCTTGAAATCTCCCCAGGACCCTTGCCCTTCCTACTCCCACTATGGGCTCGCCTTCCAAGTTGCAAACCACTGGTAGAGAAGTTAATAAATGAGACATACCTATAGTCTGGAACATCTTTCTGTTACAAGATCTGGTCATCCTTGTCTTGAGAAGACGGTCGGCCAAGTAACCACACAGCAGACCCGATATGAATTTCCCCACAAATGGCAGCGAAGAGAGAATCGCGTTCTGCACCAGATGTATATCAGTCATACTATATTCTTACAAAACGAAACAAACTTTCAACAAAAATAGTATAGTCTTCACAAATTACAACAACGTTCGTTTTATTTATAAAATATCTTTATGACCTTTTTCTATTTTGGTTTTATTCTCAGAGTACGCAACGGTACGCATTATTGACACCATTTTAAGCTAAATCTTTGAACTCTACTGTAATAGACATTTTGTGGTTAATTGTTGAATTGAGAATCGACGAATTAGTACTCTCTTTAATGTGCACACGTGTGTCAGAGCCTCAACTCACCAGTCAGAAATGTGGATTTGTCTCGTAGATACCTCATTTAAGTGATTTTGTGAAGTAATCTTTCGTAGTGTTAACACTGTTTATTCGTGTAATGCGCTTTCTGGCCACAACGTGCACTTGTCGCTCGTGATTCTATTTAGCTGACTAGTTCTACCATTCGTTTAGTTTAATATCGCTTCTAATGGAGCATCAAGCCACACTCATCACACACTCTTTACAGACGTGTCCATGGCTCTTGTATTTTGTTTCTACATGTTTCTATGGAATAAGGTCACGAGACTTAGGACTTCTCAGCCAAATATTTTTTTTCTTTCAACCATTTCACGGTGTGAAAGTAAAATGTCCGAGTTAGTTATAAACATTAATTGAAATGAATGCAAGAAAGGCGAAGCAACATAGAAATGTCTCGACGACTTTTGTGTCAACAGTTAAAAGTCAAATAAAAGGCCTAAATATAGGACACAACATGATAAAAATTGGACAAAGAATCGTTAAAAAGACATTGAAATTGAAAGCAAATGGATTTGACGAATCCAGAAATCAGTAATACGACTCTTGATGAGAAAAACAAAAGCGATAGAGTGGGTCCCATAAATGAATCTTTTTTTAAAGATTGCACAGAGTAGAATGGAGTGCGAAAAATGGATTGTGAAATGACACACATTATCGGTGCCACTATAAGTGACTGCGACATGATGTACCTTGGGTACCCCACCAGGCCCAATATTTCCTCACCTGAGATATGTTGTACTGAAGCACATCCTGCATATACATGGGCAGGTAACAGAGGATCCATGAGTAGACCCACATGAATGAAGTTGAGGCAACGATAATGGCCCATACGGCGGGAGATCCCAGAATCTTTAGCCAGGGCGGATGAATCTGAAGATAATATAGGGAGACAAGTTTAAAGGGGAGAGAATCGATTTCACTGCACTGTTTTATATAAACAAGCTCGGTCCTTTTCGGTGTGAGCTGCCTCCGAAAAACGACCAGTAAGGAGGGTGACCAAACGTCCCGCTGTTAACGGGATATGCTGTTTTTTGTTTGTTTAGTGTGTCCCACCTGTCCCATTGGTACTCCAACGAACAGTCAATTGTCCCGTTTTATAAAAATCAAGGGAAAAGCTCAAGAACATAACATGCACTTACATTTATTTCTGTAAAACTAAATTTTTCATATTCTTCGAAACTTTTAATGCTTTAAATATGTTGACTTCTAATGAGGAAAATATGACGTCAGAAACATATCGGACTCAACAAACACATAATTTCAGAATTTGTAAAGAACTGTGTATGCAGGGCAAAACAAAAATTGTATTCAACCAAAAAAAAAAAAAAAAAAAAATCAGGGAAAGAATCGCAAAATGTTTAGTGATTCCATATGTTACCCGCAAAATAAATTATTCCTAACAAGTGGAGATAAGAGAAAAGATGAATAGCACGTTCAGCTGCTTTCATACACTGACATAGGGTGCAGAACCAGCGGCCACAGCTGGAAACAAATCAGTAGAAGTACCCCTGGAGTGGCTGCTACATGGGAGATCTGACAGCGCATAGGAATGTCTAAAGTGCAAAAAACTTTGATTGTGATAACATAACATACCAGTCAGTTAAGATGGAAAAAACTCCTCCCAGCCTTATGGGGGAAGTTTGGAGATGAATAAAATAGAACAAACTTAGAAGAAACTGCAGCAGACGTAGACGATGTGACTTGTTTTGATTTGACTGAATATTCCCTAAACTGTACTATGGAATAGTGGACAGAAAAAGACAAACGGGAACATAGATCAAAGTTAGTAACAAAAACAAGACATCAGAAGAGTGACAGCAAAGTGAGCATAGATTAGGAAGACGTGGCATCAGATCTTTCAGGTCCTTTCCCACTCTTAGGGAGAAACGGTAGAAGGGAGAACGCATTGTGAATAGTTACAAGAATAAAGCCGCGAAATTGTATATAAAAAGATGTAACAGCAAAGTGAACACTGGTGGCCCAAAACTGCAGAACAAAATGGAAATCAATTTAAAAATGAAAGAAATGCCGAGCGTGAGGAAGACATCATGTTAGCAACTGAGCTGATGAATTAATTTTAAAAAGAAACTAAATCTACATTAATTAGGGATACTGCTAGGACGTATTAATGTTCCTAAATTACAAGGACAGACGATAGAGCGGTTAACACATTTAATCTGTCTTGTGTATGTAACACGATACACAAACACACATTGGAAGCTGGCAACCGAAAGAAAGCTTGCTGGTGGGGTTAATCAAACAGAAACAGCCAAATATTTATTTAACATTAAAACGAAGAACATTCTTCATTACATAAACCATCGTCACTGTGTTGTGTTTTCATTACACGGTGAATATATAATGAGATCTACCATGGATGTGTCAGGAATTCTGGTCGGTGGTCATAACATAAGCCATGTTATATTTATGACACCGGTTTGTTAGTGACAAGTCAGAAAGTACTACATAGCTAGAGAGATAGATACACAAATGGTAGAAAGCAATAAAATGGGCCTCTTTTAAATAATAGGAAAACAAAAGCGATTGTAACATCGAAGAAAATAATAGTGCCTAAATGTTTAATATAAGTAAAACGAATTATTCACGGAAACGTAGAGAGATGCACATATCTAGGCACACGGATAACATCCGATGGAAATTGAATGCAATAAATCCATGTCACGTATGGTTACAAAAATAATTCTTCAATGCTGTAAAGTTTTCACATATGGCACTAGACTATAAATAAGCAAACTAAACAATTTCCCGAGACCTCGCCAAGTGTTTTGAAAGAGGCGGGTGGCCGAAGACAACTTATCGCAAACATAAGAACGAGAAAGCCATCATCATTTGGTCACGTTATGAGAAGAGGGAAACTGGAGCATGTTGTGTTAACTGGAAAGATCTATGGAAAGAGAGACAGCGGAAAACAACGCGAGAAAATACATGGCAGCCTTTTGTCTTAGATTGCCCGTGTCCTTATGATTTTATCATTCACCACTGCACAGATGCCGTTGTTTTCCTAAGAAGAGGAATTTCTTCGATCTTTGTTTAACTAATAATTTATGTCCGCTTAAAAAATTGAATATACAGTAATTACACACGCGCGGAGATTGGAAATCAATTGACACGTGTTGTGATGCGTGGTGGTTTTTTTTGATTGCCTTTCCCGCATGCAATAAAATTTTCCATCTCACAGGAGGCTAATGCTGGAGATGGCACCTGAGAATGAGACACTAAAGAAACGCATGCAATCTGATCTTTCCACAAGTTTACGTTATTACTCAGTTAACTGTAATCAAACTAGTTGTGTCTTAAAAACGGTGTTTTAGGACATAGTGCATGATATCTTTGAAGGGAAAACAGCCTGGGAAAAATAGTATGACAAAATATGCGAACTCACTTGTGTTTGAGCTTGTAATAAAAATACGAGATACACAATGCTCGAAATAAATTTCATACAAATATGGTTGTGGGGATAGGCTTTTGTTACTGACTTCAAATGAGAAAAAGCAAAAAGCTGGCACTGTGGAAGCTTTGTTTAGAATCAAAGCAGTGTTACAATGCCAGGTTACCACGAACAAATCATTGCCATTACAACTTAGCAAGGAAATTGAAGAATAGTTTAAACAGCAGTTCAAATATCGACTATACATTTGAACAACAGCGTAATTATAAAACAACAAACCACGGCCTGGCTAGGAAATAATAATATTATGAATCTATCTCTCATTCGCACCGTTATAAAATTAATAAATAGCAAATCTATTGTCAAGCTGTAAAAATTCAGGAGAACGTCCTCACTTTGTTTCTGTTTGACTGCAAGCTATGTGTCTCTGCAGCGATGTACTTCAGCTCATCTGGCAGAATCCTTGGATGTTCACTGGGCTTGTTGTATACCAAGGCTAAACATAAGCCCACCCAGATGGCGCTCAGGGTACCTACACAGTCAACACATTCTAGATCATTGGGTGTGTAGTTAGTTATCATCATCTACAGCTCAGGGTACCTACACAGTCAACACATTCTAGATCATTGGGTGTGTAGTTAGTTATCATCATCTACAGCTCAGGGTACCTACACAGTCAACACATTCTAGATCATTGGGTGTGTAGTTAGTTATCATCATCTACAGCTCAGGGTACCTACACAGTCAACACATTCTAGATCATTGGGTGTGTAGTTAGTTATCATCATCTACAGCTCAGGGTACCTACACAGTCAACACATTCTAGATCATTGGGTGTGTAGTTAGTTATCATCATCTACAGCTTAGGGTACCTACACAGTCAACACATTCTAGATCATTGGGTGTGTAGTTAGTTATCATCATCTACAGCTCAGGGTGCCTACACAGTCAACACATTCTAGATCATTGGGTGTGTAGTTAGTTATCATCATCTACAGCTCAGGGTGCCTACACAGTCAACACATTCTAGATCATTGGGTGTGTAGTTAGTTATCATCATCTACAGCTCAGGGTGCCTACACAGTCAAACACATTCTAGATCAATCATCATCTACAGCTCAGGGTGCCTACACAGTCAACACATTCTAGATCATTGGGTGTGTAGTTAGTTATCATCATCTACAGCTCAGGGTGCCTACACAGTCAACACATTCTAGATCATTGGGTGTGTAGTTAGTTATCATCATCTACAGCTCAGGGTGCCTACACAGTCAACACATTCTAGATCATTGGGTGTGTAGTTAGTTATCATCATCTACAGCTCAGGGTGCCTACACAGTCAACACATTCTAGATCATTGGGTGTGTAGTTAGTTATCATCATCTACAGCTCAGGGTGCCTACACAGTCAACATATTTTAGCTCATTGGGTGTGTAGTTATCATCTACAGCTTATGGTATATACACGGTCAACACATTTTAGCTCATTGGGTGTTACATATCAACTTTCCCCAGTACTAAAACACCCAGTAACACTCATAGAAAATAAAAGACAAATCAAAAATGCAATCTTGTGACCAACATTGTGTTACCAATGCCAAACCTGGGCATTAATAAAAGAACAAGTGCGAAAAATACCTACGTATGAAATGAGAAGTTTGAGACAACCAGTCAACATAATAAGAAAAGGCCCGCAGAAGAAACAAATATATAATCAGAATAGTAGGAATAATACCTGTAATTAGATTGACTGAAAAGCAATGACCGAATCGGTTTGGCCATCTGGTCAAAATGAACTCAGCGGCACTGGTTGTAAGAGCAAACAACATGAGAAATGAAATCCAAGAGGTAGAGGAAAGCCGATAAGACATGGATAGACGGAGTTCGCTTGCTGACACTCAACAATATGCAGCAAGCTAACCAGCGCGCTTTATCCCGGAAACCGACCATTAGCCGTGCCTGCGACGTCGTGCAGATTTAAACAGAGAAACAATAGATATATAATTGTTTCGAGCAATCAAACTCAGTTCACATTTTGAAATAGAGTTATTTACTAATTATTAAAAAAAAAACTTTTCAACTACTGAATATTTATTGAGCATTTACTGAGGTCCTATTTCTGTGCATATAATAACCGGTAGAGTGGTCGAAACTTCGTGCTTAATATAAGTAATCTACGGACATTTACAGCTGCATTGACTCCCAGGTCGACCCAGCCTTAACTGGGTACCAGGAACAGTCCTGGGAGGTAAAGGCAGCCGGCGTGGTGTTGACCACATCACCCCTCAAGTGATCATAGGTCTATTAAATAAAGGTTCCTGCCCTATCTGCCCAATATGCCTGAAGGTGTGGGAAAGGGACTTTTTTTAAAAAACTATTTGCTAGTGCGGTACCGAATATGGGTGGGGTGAGAGTTGGAGATTTCTGGCGCCGGAGGATTTCTATCGGTGTGACCCTCGCATTCGCCACAAACTGTGCAGGTTCGGCTGTTTATGTTTGTTTCCGACAGGACAAACATACATATTGTTAACCGCATCGATAATCTGAACGGACTGACCGCAGGAAATCCTGACGTTCAAGCGACTCGACCATCCGCTCCTAGGGCAAAATACTGGTTGCATTTATTTCCACAGCCATTTCCTGGTACTGATGTCAGCTGTATCGACCTTGAAGCCCTGTTGTTTTTTTTTAATCATGACAAATTATTACACGTCTGGTGTACACGTTTAACAACAAAGATAATCATTGTGGTGGTCGTAATGACTATAATGATATTTTTATAATGTTGGTGAAGATGATTATGATAGTGAAGATGTCGGTGATGATTATGATGGCAATTGTAAAAATAATGGTGAAGATGATGATAATGGTGGTAATAAAGTTGTTGATAATGTGATGATGATGACGATGGCGCTGATGATAACTCTGATGGAGAAGATGACAATAGTGGTGATGATAACTGTGATGGAGAAGATGACAATGGTGGTGATGGTAATTGTGAAGATAATGAAGATGATGTTGACGGCGATGATGCTGGTGAAGACGACGGTGATGATGATGATGACAATGAAGATAGTGATGACAATCGTTAAAAGACAACAAATCTCTTACCATAGAAATAGCAGACCAAGGGCCAGCCATTGTCCAGCGGGATCTGACACAACAAGCCGGACACCAGAAATGTGAATATGCCACCAAGGCTGACACCTATTGTAGACAACACGTGAGCAAACTCAAGTGATTTTGTCAATGTTTATCTGTCTGTGCGATGTGCCCTAATTGGCACAAAGTTCGCTTCTAAATGTGTCCAATTAAGAAATTATCAAAATGGGCTATGTAAGGTTTAAGGTTTTAACAACTGATCAACATTATGGCACACGGCTAGTAACCCATAAGTGCTCTGTTCTTCATCTAACTCAAGTTGGCGACGATCATAAAATACTTTGGGTACGTTTTTAACTCCAAATTTTGCCCGGACAGCGCCGTTAGGCTACTCTTTTCGATTTCCTACTGCCAAGAAATTTTTTGTACGTACGCAACAATGCACACGGGCGTCTGATCTCACCACCCAGAGACCAGGGGGATTGCTATAAGTCCAAGTCCACGTGAAAAAAATCCCAGCCCTTACCAGGGATTGAACCAGGAACCTTTAGCACTCGAGGGAGACAGCATGCATCGAGACCACGCAGCTTCCTAATGGGCTATAATAATTGCACTCCACAGAAGCTTATAGCTAGGCTGACAGATTGTCATGATTGTGCTGCAGATTATCATGATTGTGCTGCAGATTATCATGATTGTGCTGTAGATTATCATGATTGTGCTACAGATTATCATGATTGTGCTTCAGATTATCAAGATTGTGCTGCAGATTATCATGATTGTGCTGCAGATTATCATGATTGTGCTGCGGATTGTCATGATTGTGCTGCAGATTATCATAATTGTGCTGCAGATTATCATGATTGTGCTGCAGATTATCATAATTGTGCTGCAGATTATCATGATTGTGCTGCAGATTGTCATGATTGTGCTGCAGATTATCATGATTGTTCTGCAGATTATCATGATTGTGCTGCAAACAAGTCCACAAACGGTAAGATCTCCTCAGAATGTCTACATGCTTGAAATAACTGATTATTACATTCTGGCTTTGGCTCACGTCTTTCTTTTCCTCTCTTACTCTTTATGGAATCACAACTTCTATCTTAACACAGTAAAAACAAAGCTAATGCATACAGATAAAACTAACATGGAGACAGAAATTTGTGGTAATGAGGTAAGATTGGAGGTTATGGAACATTTTCAATATCTTGGGTCATTGGTTACTAACAGTGGTGACAACATGCTACTGACTGACTGGCTGACTGGCTGACTGACTGACTGACTGACTGACTGGCTGACTGACTGACTGACTCTTGACGGCAGGGTTATTTAACTCGTGGCCGAAACCGGTCGGAAAAGGTCTAGCAAGCGGCTCCTGGTTCACAATATACCAGTTACATTGTAGAAATGGCGAGTCGCCGTGGCTAAGCCGCAAGACGCGCGCAGCGGATCGGAAGGTCGTGGGTTCGCTCCCTGATTTTTCCTCAAAAATAACCTTGGCTCCCAGGCGGCCGGCGTGATGCTGACCACATCACCCATCTTGTGCCTTTGGTCTGTAAAATATAGGTCTAGCCCTATATGCCCTATACGCCTAAAAGGCGTGGAAATGGGTTCTTTACTTTACTTTCCTCATTGTATAAATGGTCTTTCTAAGCTGGGACTGGAACCTCTAATCTGTGACAATCCCTGTCGTCAATATTTGGACCCTGACAAAACTAATGTGAATAGCCCTGTTTTACTGTACTGTGGCAATATCCAGAATGTCTCTTACATTTTACGGTATTGTTGCAATATTCAGACTCTCTCTTAAATGTTACGGTATTGTTGCAATATTCAGACTCTCTCTTAAATGTTACGGTATTGTTGCAATATTCAGACTCTCTCTTAAATGTTACGGTATTGTTGCAATATTCAGACTCTCTCTTAAATGTTACGGTATTGTTGCAATATTCAGACTCTCTCTTAAATGTTACGGTATTGTTGCAATATTCAGCCTCTCTCTTAAATGTTACGGTATTGTTGCAATATTCAGACTATCTCTTAAATGTTACGGTATTGTTGCAATATTCAGACTCTCTCTCTTAAATGTTACGGTATTGTTGCAATATTCAGACTCTCTCTTAAATGTTACGGTATTGTTGCAATATTCAGACTCTCTCTCTTAAATGTTACGGTATTGTTGCAATATTCAGACTCTCTCTTAAATGTTACGGTATTGTTGCAATATTCAGACTCTCTCTTAAATGTTACGGTATTGTTGCAATATTCAGACTCTCTCTTAAATGTTACGGTATTGTTGCAATATTCAGACTCTCTCTTAAATGTTACGGTATTGTTGCAATATTCAGACTCTCTCTTAAATGTTACGGTATTGTTGCAATATTCAGACTCTCTCTTAAATGTTACGGTATTGTTGCAATATTCAGACTCTCTCTTAAATGTTACGGTATTGTTGCAATATTCAGACTCTCTCTTAAATGTTACGGTATTGTTGCAATATTCAGACTCTCTCTTAAATGTTACGGTATTGTTGCAATATTCAGACTCTCTCTTAAATGTTACGGTATTGTTGCAATATTCAGACTCTCTCTTAAATGTTACGGTATTGTTGCAATATTCAGACTCTCTCTTAAATGTTACGGTATTGTTGCAATATTCAGACTCTCTCTCTTAAATGTTACGGTATTGTTGCAATATTCAGACTCTCTCTCTTAAATGTTACGGTATTGTTGCAATATTCAGACTCTCTCTTAAATGTTACGGTATTGTTGCAATATCAGACTCTCTCTTAAATGTTACGGTATTGTTGCAATATTCAGACTCTCTCTTAAATGTTACGGTATTGTTGCAATATTCAGACTCTCTCTTAAATGTTACGGTATTGTTGCAATATTCAGACTCTCTCTTAAATGTTATGGTATTGTTGCAATATTCAGACTCTCTCTTAAATGTTACGGTATTGTTGCAATATTCAGACTCTCTCTTAAATGTTACGGTATTGTTGCAATATTCAGACTCTCTCTTAAATGTTACGGTATTGTTGCAATATTCAGACTCTCTCTTAAATGTTACGGTATTGTTGCAATATTCAGACTCTCTCTTAAATGTTACGGTATTGTTGCAATATTCAGACTCTCTCTTAAATGTTACGGTATTGTTGCAATATTCAGACTCTCTCTCTCTTAAATGTTACGGTATTGTTGCAATATTCAGACTCTCTCTTAAATGTTACGGTATTGTTGCAATATTCAGACTCTCTCTTAAATGTTACGGTATTGTTGCAATATTCAGACTCTCTCTTAAATGTTACGGTATTGTTGCAATATTCAGACTCTCTCTTAAATGTTACGGTATTGTTGCAATATTCAGACTCTCTCTTAAATGTTACGGTATTGTTGCAATATTCAGACTCTCTCTTAAATGTTACGGTATTGTTGCAATATTCAGACTCTCTCTTAAATGTTACGGTATTGTTGCAATATTCAGACTCTCTCTTAAATGTTACGGTATTGTTGCAATATTCAGACTCTCTCTTAAATGTTACGGTATTGTTGCAATATTCAGACTCTCTCTTAAATGTTACGGTATTGTTGCAATATTCAGACTCTCTCTTAAATGTTACGGTATTGTTGCAATATTCAGACTCTCTCTTAAATGTTACGGTATTGTTGCAATATTCAGACTCTCTCTTAAATGTTACGGTATTGTTGCAATATTCAGCCTCTCTCTTAAATGTTACGGTATTGTTGCAATATTCAGACTGACTATAACATTTTACGGTATTGTTGCAATATCCAGACTGTCTGTAACATTTTACGGTACTACAACAATATCCTGATACCACTGTATGTTATAGATTTAGACACCCGTCAGATGACCTAACTTTTTCTGTAGATGGACGCTGTAAAAAGTTGCAGATCTTTAGTTTATAGACCAGTCGGTAGAAAGTTTGTGATGGGGTCAACCTCACACCGACCACCTTTGCTTTCCAGGACTCTACCTGCTACTCGTTTACGGTGAGTCGACCTGGAAGCCAAGACCACTTTTAAAAAAATGTCTGGTTTTGTCAGGATCTGAACACACAGAATTCAGATCCGCAAGCGAGCGTCTATCCGCTTCACCACAGCGGCTCACTACATATTCAAGTGAAGACATAAATATAATGTATGAAAAGAGTCGGGTAATTGTGGAGACAATAAAGTGGATACATCAGATAAACAGACAAGTTAGTTAGTTAATCGACTGATCATCCTCGTGGCACACCAGACACCTCTATCTGGATCTACACACCTGGGCATGCAGGAGTAAATGGTAGTGAAAGAGCTGACCAGCTGGCAAGTAATGCACCAATGCAAACGGCAATGAGAACGGACAGAGCTGACATTATCAACGCTGTACGGACTAGGTTGGAGGATAATGGCGAATCTCTAACACTAACACGACTGCGCAACCGAGGAGTACGTCTATGTAGTCTTCCAGGTAAACAAATGAGATACTATAATCAACTCCTCATGGAAACAACCAGTAGAGGTACCTTGGAGTGGCTGCTGCATCGGAGGACTGAGCACGCATGGGGATGCCCAATGTTGCAAATACGTCGACTGTGATAACATAACATAACCGTCAGTCAAGTTCATAAGCGGTGGGACCCTAGAGTCAGTATCATTGAGAGTGTGGCCACCGATAACACCGGTTGTTGTTTGTTTACTATTCTTCCACATGTCTAGCAACAGCTCTTCTGAGATGAAGTTCTTGTAGTTTTGTTAAAGTTGTCGATTCACTGCAGTCTCCTTAATTATCTACTGCTACGCCTTTGCGAGTAAAGAGGACGATTACATCAGCCCAGTCCATTGCTTTTCTTGTGCATACCGTGGTTCTGCCAGGAATTCAGTCTTCCCGCTCACGCCCTCATACCTTAGAGCAGTGGCTCTCGCCCTTCCTAATGTCAGGACGCTTTAATACATTTCCTCATGTTGTAGTGACCCCTAACCAAACAATTTTTTTTTTGTTGTTACTTCATAACTACAGTGAATATATGTTTTCCTATATCTATGCGGACCCACGTGAAAGGGTCGTTCGACTCACAAAAGGGTCGTGACCCACAGGTTAAAAGCCGCTGGCCTAGAGTTACCTGAAAAAAAAATTTAATTCCTGTCATATTTCCTCAGATACTTCAACCATTGCCTTCCAACTCCATTCTGTCTCCATGTTATTAAGCATATTTATGGAATCAGTTAGAAAGCATGCATGAACAAATCGGTATCTCTAGCCATTTTTTGCGGTTGTTACGGCCATCACCTCCATAGTCAGACAACATGAAGTCGAGGTTATCCTAATTTACATACAAACTGGAGGCATAAGGGGGGAACAAGTGTGCGGGAGAGAACCACACAAAGACAGATAAAAGATAGAAGCGTAGTTTAGAATCAAAGATTTGCAGAACGGTATGTTCCATTCACCAAATGACAAGACAGAAGCAGAAACGAAATAACAATTCAGATAAATACCAGATTATAATCATTCACGGCACTTCCTATTACACAATATTTAGATATCTCGTAATTCCAACGTACCGCGATTGAAACCCACTGCTGGCTGCGTGGATTTACATTATGGTATGGGGCGTCGCAGGTCGACCCAGTCTACAATGGGTACCAGGATGGCTGTTCTGGGGAAGTAAAGACGGCCGGCGTAACGCTGACCAGATTACCCACCCAGTGCCGATTGGTCTGTAAAAACATGGGACGCTCTTTCCCTATGCCCAATGCCCCTAAGGGGTAGAAAGAGATCTTTTTTTTTTCCTTTACTTCTTTTGGACTTGGTAGCAAGAACTGACGGCTTATTCTAGCATGATATAATAGAGATGCAATTACCTGTGTACTCCACCGCTGTTAGATAGGCGACTTCGGACCTTGGTGCCCAGGCTGCCCACAGTGACTGCACGGCAGGGTCAATCATGCCCTGCTTGTGAAATAGATCAATGTTACTGTTGATTGTCATGTTTAACCTTTGTGCATAGACTTGTGTTAGTATAGAAGTTAAGAGAAGTTTAATCAAGGGAACAAACATTGCCATTCTGCAAGCAAACGTGTAAAAATGAACATACAAATGGCACATTTAGAAACAAGGAATACACAAAGTAAGCCATGAAATTGGAAGGCGCTATTAAACCAGGATAAGATGAACGACTAATTAAAACCGCATTGACCCTTCTTTCCTCTTCCCTTTCCTCTCAACGGGACAGCCTAGAAACAGAGACAGAGTCAAGTGTGGGTTTCTGGGATGTAAAGTATGAAATTCTACTGACAACAGTAATGGAGGAAGACAATGATCACCATTCCCACTAACTGTCCAGCGTGTGTGATTGCAAGAAAGACGCAGAGACTCCTCTGATCGTCTGTTGACATCTGCACCGCGCTTTTGTGTGGATGATGTGAAGAACCTGTCAGCTTATTAGGAACAAGAGTGTTGCATAACTATTGTTGTGGAACCAAACCATCCCCAGGCCATCATTCTTCCATTCAGAAGCGCGAAAACTAAAGATGAAGGGATTCGATTGAACTACAACAATAAGAGCATCGTGTGCAGCTGTGTTTAAATGCAGCTTTTTGTTGAATCAAGAACAGAATCGATGCTGAGCAGAGTCAGTAAATCAATTAATCAATCAGGTGCCAGCTCCTTAATGAAGGTTGACTGCAGTGTATCCCCAAAACTCTCAGGCTTTCGCCTAGGATATACTATCTCAGATTGCAATGTATCCCCAAAACACTCAGGCTTTCGCCCAGGACATACTCTCTCAGATTGCAATGTATCCCCAAAACTCTCAGTCTTTCGCCCAAGACATACTATCTCAGATTGCAATGTATCCCCAAAACTCTCAGTCTTTCGCCCAAGACATACTATCTCAGATTGCAAATGTATCCCCAAAACTCTCAGTCTTTCGCCCAGGACACACTATCTCAGATTGCAATGTATCCCCAAAACTCTCAGTCTTTCGCCGAGGACATACTCTCTCAGATTGCAATGTATCCCCAAAACTCTCAGTCTTTCGCCCAGGACACACTATCTCAGATTGCAATGTATCCCCAAAACTCTCAGTCTTTCGCCTAGGACATACTTTCTCAGATTGCAATGTATCCCCAAAACTCTCAGGCTTTCGCCCAGGACATACTCTCTCAGACTGCATTGTGTCCATCTCTTGATGTAATACCCCCAGCTATATCGTTGTTTGTTTCTTGCTGACTTACATGAGCAAACTAAAATTTATAAGCTCAGGACACTGGAGCAATCATCGCGTCTTATTCTCAGTCTCACAGCAACTTCTAGGACAATGGGTTTTCTGAGTGAATAGGGGTTATTTCACCCGTTTACATATGTCAGAATTCAATACACAGTAGAAAATGTCTTTTCTGCGCCACTTCCGTTTAAGTGTGACTAGTAATTTATCAATCGAGTACTCAAAGTGTTTCTAAAACGATACACTTGGCTTCTGCAAAAATGACAATGTAACTGCATTTGGACAGGGAAACAATAAATAGTTATGTGGTAACTATCCTGTTATTCCATTGGCATACTGGACTATAGTGTTATAGTGTGCTATAGTGAGGCATGGGAATAACAGCCCATGGCGATAGCGACTATATAGCACAAAGTCTGGGCAGTAATGATGATGGATGCACCATGATCCCTCACTCAGCCTGCTTTTGTTTACTCCAAAAGAATGGTAACAACATTAGGTTTGGAATAAAGCATGTTGCAGAACCTGCTGGATCATATGATCAGTGCTCTATGTTGTCCGCCACTCGGCAAATATCTCTTAGACCAGCTGCCAGCTAAGGCAAAGCGTCTTGTCTTCTCTGCCATAACAGGTGTTCAGGTTGCATTTCCTCGTCTTGTGATAAGGCTACTGTTTTTTCTAGTGGGCTCCTCCACCAGAAGCTGTTGTCCCTGTGTGGGATATCAGGTTTGATACACACCGCCTAGCATTGGGCGCTAACTGATAACAGGTGGTACCAACTGCTATGGCTATATTATCACCAATACACGATAGACACTTTTATAAATGCTTTGACTCCTTTTATAATAAATAACTGTGCAACCTTGAGGTCATGGAGTTCTGTCATACTTCTTTCTTCTACATTTATAAGCACCCATCAATGCTAGTCTGTATGGTAAATCTTTCCATAACCAATGTATTGAGTGTATATGAAATGTCTTTTATTAGTATTGATTAACGAGCCTCGTTTTCCCATTACATGCGAATTATTTTTTTTTAACGTCTAATTCGACTTTTTACTTCAAACACTGGCTCTGAAACTATTCATAGCAATTCATTCACTTAGAAACGCAAGTTTCGCCCCAGCTCTTCAAGGGCTTTCAGTTTGTCGCTTCGCTGAATGCATTAATCTTCTGGTGCAGGTGAACTCTGAGCCAGTCTGGTCAACCTCTCACTGTTCACACGTCTTGCACTGTGCAATATAGATTTTCTTCTTTTCTTAGCGTTTATCTGCATTAAACTCCGTTGGAAAATGTTGGTTGGTTGTCCGCTTCAGCACTTCGGTCTTGTTTCAGAACTCGCGTTTTGTGTGCAGACGGTTGGTTCTTTGCTTCTCATGCAGACTTCGAAGGGAAAACTGCCAATTAGTTGCATTATACGGCATGCTTAGGGAGCAGAAGTTTACCCCCCCCCCCCTCCACCCACAACAAACAGGACCCCAGAACCCAAAGGGGGGAGTTTTAGAACAGCATCAATGTTATGAGTACCTTTCAATGCCTGTCTTAGACCAGCACTAAATGCCCAGCTCATACTCATGATATCGCTCATGCGAATAAAAAAACTAGGACCTTTTTCTCGGTGCCATCAGTTGTATTGGGCATATAGGGTTAGACCTAAATTTAATAAACTAATCGGCACCGTGGTCAAATTCACGCTGGTGGCTTTTGCTTTCAATGATTTTAACTTTTTTTTAGGCTGTGTTGACTTGAGAGTCAATGTCATTTGTGAAAGACCTGCTCGATACGCATTTGAACCTACAACCTTTGGACCGGAGACGACCGTCTATCCACTACACTCTGCTGACTTCATGTGTATCTAACTGCTGTCAATAAAATCTGTCAATTTTGTCTTAACAATAATGGAGATATCTGATTGTTTAACACCTTTGATTTAAAAAAAAAAAAAAAAACTTGTCTTTACGTTTCTTGGTCATTCAGAAAATTAAACATTTTTGATATCTTTTGTCACAGACATTTATTATAATAACTCTTTGTCTCTAGATTAGTCTTGGTTATCATCACAGCACTCCGGAATGATCCATAAATGCTCCGATGTCCTCCTCGAAAGGTCCAGAAGAGTAAAACGACTGATGCGTCTGTTCTGTGGTGATTAATCACATGTCTTGTCTCCTAAATGAAATGTTATTTTCTTGCAGATCCTGACTGCACCTATTTCCATCAGTCTAGACTAGGATACGGAGTGATGCAACTTGCCGTATTTGTTTTTGTTTGTATTTTATATAATGAAGGTCGCTATCTATTCTTTTTTTTTTTAAACATCTTTCTATGCAATATAGGTGAAATAAAATGCAATATTAAGGAACATCAAATAATTTTGCCTGTTATAACTACAGCCTTCTTCTTCTTCTTCTTCTTCTTCTTTTCCTTCTCCCTTCCAGTGTTTTTCAGATGTCAAGGTTGCAGATCTCTATGAAGTCTGTGGAACTGTGCATGTCATCCATTGTTCTTTCTATACAGCGTGGTTTGCATTTGAATTCCAGCCGACCAAAACTTTGCCCTTTCTATTGCATAAATAATGATACTTAGAACTGCACATTTATGGAGGGGAACTTGAATTCAAAAACACATAAATGTGTAAAGAGATATGCGCAGTGATAGCACTTGTATGGTTAGTGAAGATCTTTTAAAATATAAAAGTAAAGTGCATGTATTATATAAGGAAAATATCCCAGTGTAGGGTCGGTCCCCATTGGGGAGGGATGTAGACCCACAGCCCCCTAAAAAGCATATCGTAAAAGGCGACAAATTAGGAGTTCACTGACGAAGTCCCCAGTCAAGAATGAGATCTGCGTTCTTGTACTGGGTCTTACTGTCAAGAACTCTAGGCTCTCATGTGGGGAAACTGAGGTACCATACAGTTGCATGGGTCTTGCTTTCTGTCTGGGTCCAGAAAATACAATCCTAATTTTCACTGTCCGTGGAGAATAAACTAGCCTTAATGCTCAGGCTTAAACACCTCCTTGCCTTGTGGCACACAGAAGGAGACAGTCAAGAATGAAGAACTAATAACAATGGCAGGCACGGTATCAGTAAATGATTTCATAGAACATCGAGGAATAAAATGGTTCGGTCATTTGATCAAAATGGAACCAAATCAGTCAGCAGGCTACAGGGCAAGAGAACGACCAAGAAAGAGATTGGGGAGAGGTGAAAAGGAGAATGCACAAATGCAAAATAACATTAACAAGCCACGAAACTAGCAAACGTCTGGAAACTATATCCACTCTATGCCATGCGTTACGACTTAAACAGTAGGAGAAAAGACAAACAACAATATCTAAACATGTATCCCTGTATCTTTCCCTTGCTTGTTTCCGTCTAGTAAAGTGGCTCTCAACCTTCCTAATGGAGCAACCCTTTAATACAGTTCTTCGTGTTGTGGCGACCCTTTAATACAGTTCCTCATTTTCTGGCGACCCTCAACAATACAATTATTTTCGTTGCTGTTCATAACTTCAATGAATATGTGTTTTCCGATGGTCTTAGGCGACCTCTGTGAAAGGGTCGTTCGACCTACAAAAGGTTGAGAATCGTTGGTCTAGTTAATCGACTGTCTAAAGTTTTGAATTTTATTTCCCAGATAATACGCTCCAAAAATGTAGCCTGCATCTAAACTATTTAATGAATTTGCCATTTTCATTTTCTTGTTGAACCTGTACGTTATTCATTCTTCTGTCCGCCACGCTATTCGTTGCATGTTCATCAGAAAACAGATTTCTAATGCCATCAGATAGTTCTTGATTGTACTTATTCTCCACGTCGTTATCTTGCATGCAACATCAACGTGAATCCTCACCCTGTCAACGTAGGAAATACACAGAATTGAAAACACCAACGTGAATCCTCACCCTGTCAACGTAGGAAATACACAGAATTGAAAACATCAACGTGAATCCTCACTCTGTCAACGTAGGAAATACACAGAATTGAAACTATGAGAGATTTTGTTCTGGGCAACATACGAAGTATTGAGGAAATTTAATACATTTAGCAAGTTCAGTTTAAATATGTGGGACTTTGTGACTCCTTGATTCAGCTTCCTCAACAACAGCACTTGTAACACTGTCACTGGCTAGAGAAGCATCAAGCAATACAAAGCTGAGTATAGTAGTGACATAATCATACTTGCATTGGATGTGCCGGCAAGGACTCGAAGGGCCACAAGCAGATATTTGTTTAACCTGGTCAGTTCTGGCGTCAGTAAGTTGACCACCGCCCCCATGCCCACGCAAAAGGCCACCAGCTGCTTGGCTCCAAAGAATCGCTCGATGTAACAAGACAGCAAGGGGGTCAGAAGATAGCCGTAGTAATACGAGGACAAGACGATGCCTTCAAAGGTGGCATCCCACACAAACTCGCGACTTTGTGCACCTGAAAAGATAAGAATGGGGGATGGGGGGGGGGGGGTTACAGTAGTGATTTAATGGTCATTATTGATCAGTGCTTGGAGCCGCTGTGGCATAGCTGCTAGAGCCTTGCCTGTGCACTCCAAGGTCGTGCCTTCAGATCCTGACAGATAGGGACTTTTTTTTTTCTCAATGATCTTGGGACCGAGGTCGACTGAGCCTTTAATGGCTACCAGGTAAAGTTTATGAAAATAAAGGCGAGCACATTACCCGCACTGCTGATTGGTCTTTAAAATATATGCCTAGCCATGTATGTCCAGAACTCCTGAAGGCATGGACATTGGTCCTTTAGTTATTAGCGATTTGTGAGGCCTATCACAGCACCCCGGGGGGATACAGCGGTGCTCTGTCTCCTCCTCGGTAGCTGAACAAGAGTAGAATGATTGATCTCGCTCATTCTGTGTTGACTGAACAGACATCTTGCGCCCTTAGTACAATGGTTATGTCTGCATATTCCAGGTTGCGTGCTCATATCCACCAGTGAGGACAAAAATACTGAGTCCTGCTTGTTGTCGTGGTCCTCTTCGCGAGATGCATCTCGAATGGCGTTAATGACATCCCTTCTGTCCAGTGCCAGGCAAGGTACAGTAACCGCCTTGCCCGCCATATACTCTGCATGCTTATTGCATTGAACACCCACATTTCTCGGCACTCAGATACAGTTTAAGCGATTTATACGTGAAGCATTTAATACGAGAATCCGTTCGTGTCTGATGAAGCCGGTATGGATTTGCTTGAGCATATTCGTTGAATCGCTCAGTATGCACGCATGTTTGAATTCTTGAGTATTCATCCATGCCAGTTCACTTGTTGCACTCAGGTCTCCGTTGTGGTGATGTTCATTGTAACAGCAAAAGTATAACTCATCTCCTTCATGTTTTCCCTTGTCCCTTTACGATCTCAGTGAACGCTCATGCATTTCGCTTGCAACAGGAGACTGCCCCATCTGTGTAAACCATAGCATCATCTATATCTGTATTTTCATCAACTGGCGTTTCGGCCAAAGCTACCACTATGCCAGAAATCTGTTCTCTGCAGCTTCTGTCAAGGATTATATGAGCCGTGATGGTGATGTTTGAAACAGTGGACAAATACAGCAATCCCTCTTCTTCTTCTTCTTCTTTTTTTTTTTCTTCTTCTTCTTCATTTTCTTCTTATTGTTCTTGTTCTTTTTCTTTTTTGCGTTCACTAGCTGTTCGCCCACTTCTGGACTGTAGTCCTGTTCCAGAACCTTCGTGTTCATGCGCGTCCGTTTGTCAGATCTGACTTATTTGCATGCATACTGTTGGTTTTGCCGCCCAGGCAGATGCACTCCGACTTCGACGAAAGCTCCCAATTAGTCATGCTTTTTGTACGTAGTGGTTCTATTATTGTTTTCACTCCAACAGGGGCCCGGAACCCACAAGAGGAAGAAGTTGATTCATTCATTCAGTTAGTCTCTGGGAAGCAATAAATCAGCTCGACATTTCTTCAGCACGTGCCATCCATGATTCGTCTGTTTTCAGTCTGTCCTTGTTATACTTGAACACTTTAACGTGAGGCCGGTGTTCATACTGAAGGGTGGCTAGCACTAATCCCTGGCACAGCATCACAACAGCAATTGTTCAAAGTTAGGAGCAGCCAGGGCCGTCTTTACAGTATAATGGGGCACCTAGGCAAAGCAGTGTGGTGGGACCCCTACGAAAACCACTCACAGGAATGAAATGTAATATGTAAATATATTTATTTTATTGTCGCTTCAATCACACTTGTGGCAAAGAGTAAACCCCAGATTAAATAGCACAGTATGACATTACTACACACTTCTTTTTTCAACAAACATTTGTGCATTTCTTTTCACAGACTTGCTTTATTACTGGCTTCAAGTCGATAGGCTTCAGACACCTGTCAAATCGTATACCTGTGTATTTATTTTCAACCATCAGCGTTGGTGTCTACGCAATGACAGTCAGGTGACTGCTGCTGTGGATGGGTTCATCGTTGCTCCGAGATACTGCACCAGGATGGTATTTGGTTGAATTCCTGTTGCAGCCCAGAAGCTATGTCAGCTCTATTCCTACCCTTTGGTATATGAAGAATCCATCTGCATATGAGAGTTCTTCCTTTGTCATTCAGTTGTTCTGCTGTGATCTTGATCGTGTGGGTAATGAAGAGGACTGGAGACAAAGGAAAACATTGACGTAGGCCTGGGCTGACTGTGACTGGTTGAGGAGACCCGCACAATTCACCATAAAAGACCATAACATGAGTGACAGATGTTTCTCTATGGAGAGCAGTCATCGATTCATTGCTCAGAGAATTAACTTTATTGCACGGGTTTAAGTTCCACCTGGCTTACTATATCTCCCCGATGCGAGTTGCCTCGCACAAAACAAGAACTCTCAAGCGACAGAAGGCACTCTCAGGGACATAAAAAAGTATGAGTAAACATGTTGATCGAACGACGCAGATACAACAGTGAGGCTCTCGAAATGGCCAGCACCCGTGTTCATCGAGTTAATGCCCATATGCTTAAATCATCCCCCCTCCCCACCCAGAGGCCTTTAACATTAGTGCAAGGTGTTTCCCTGGGGGATGTTAACCATGGAGGAAGGGAGCTGGTCCCTCACTACTACTCTTTACTGTAGTTAGAAATGTGCACATTCAAGTGTGCTTGTTTCAATATTTTGATGCCAGTGATATTATTTACTATTACTTGATGTTTGAATGAAATGATGTCTGAAAGGAGATAAACTAGAAGGGCAGAATGTTAAACGCTTTGTGTGCCCAGTTCCTAACCCTTTGAGAAAAAAGTCTGTTCGTTTGTTCTTATTTTCAAATCTGAATGTATGCCTTGCCACCCTATTTCCAACAAACCTACAGCAGACATTATTTTTGGAGTTACAGCTGGGATACCAGAACTAGGTGACATAAGGTTTGCAACACATTCCTGACAACATAGCAGTCTTTCCTCCCTGCACGTGCCGAAGACAGTTTTACTACACGGAAAACGAGGTCACTTCTCTAACAGATTAGATTTGCCACCGAAAGAGAGACTATTACTTCAATAATAATTAATTAATTAAATCATAGCAAAGCTGCAGTACCATCATGTGCCACGGAATCACTGTGGCTTGTTCGCTTTTTTGTTCTGCTTGCCTGTGGTCACACGAACACACACATATGTATATTTATTGATGAAATATATAAATATATATATATATATATATATATATATATATATATATATATATATATATATATATATGGTAGTAGCAGTGGCGGCAGTATTAGAATAGATATACTCCCTATTTGGTTTCTGGGGCCCTATTATGGGTAAAACAAGAATTAAACATAGAACCAATGCCTCCCAACAAGCATGCCGTAGAAGTCGACTAATTGGGAGCTTCCTTCGAATTCGGGGTGCTTCTGCCCGAGCAGCAAGGAACAATTAACTGCACACAAATAAGCCAGTAAAACGGATGTGCACGCGAAACCCAGGCCCTAGCACAATGTGCATATAGACAAACAACCAGGACTTTCCACCAGAGCTTACAGACGGTAAAAAAGGAATATATATATATATATATACATATACACACACACACACACACACACACACACACACACACACACACACAACATATTAAGATGTATGTGGTATTATTTAAGAACTTTACGTAGTTCCCGTTTCAACTGTTTCACCTGTTTCAACTGTTTCACCTGTTTCAACTGTTTCACCTGTTTCACCTGTTTCAACTGTTTCAACTGTTTCAACTGTTTCACCTGTTTCAACTGTTTCAACTGTTTTACCTGTTTCAACTGTTTCACCTGTTTCAACTGTTTCACCTGTTTCAACTGTTTCACCTGTTTCAACTGTTTCACCTGTTTTAACTGTTTCACCTGTTTCAACTGTTTCAACCCTTTCAACTGTTTCAACCCTCTCAACTGTTTCAACTGTTTCAACTGTTTCACCTGTTTCAACTGTTTCACCTGTTTCAGCTGTTTCAACTGTTTCACCTGTTTCAACTGTTTCAACCCTTTCAACTGTTTCAACCCTTTCAACTGTTTCAACTGTTTCAACCCTCTCAACTGTTTCACCTGTTTCAACTGTTTCAACCCTCTTAACTGTTTCAACCCTCTCAACTGTTTCAACTGTTTCAACCCTTTCAACTGTTTCAACTGTTTCAACCCTCTCAACTGTTTCAACTGTTTCAACTGTTTCAACCCTCTCAACTGTTTCAACTGTTTCAACCCTTTCAACTGTTTCAACTGTTTCAACCCTCTCAACTGTTTCAACTGTTTCAACTGTTTCAACTGTCTAAACTGTTTCAACTGTTTCAACTGTTTCAACTGTTTCAACCACTTACACGTTATTTTAATGATGAATACAAAGACATTCCTAGACGCTAGAAGTGTTTGACTTTGAAAATTATTTGAAATGGCATTATCCCAAGATAGCAGGCAAGTTAACGGGCGCTAGACCCCGAGTTCATCCAGGTGTGGTGTTTCTATAAACATCTATTGTTATTGTTTTAGTGGTAGTAGTAGCTGCAACAGCAACATTACAACAGCAGCAGCGGTAGTATTCGTAGTAGCTGCGAGAGAAACAGCAACAGTATTAGGAACCAACAATCTGCATACATACTCATAAGCCAGATCTATAAAAGGTTGTGCATATCAAAGACACGCCACGCGGACATGATTGAAGCAGAGAAACGAAACTTAGGTGAAAACACTTTCGCTGCAAAGAAACTGAATTCTAGTTAAAATAGCCAATAACCAGTCCAGAATATAGCAGGTCTTCGGGCGGCTACAAGATGACTAAACTTGACATTTTTGTTTTCTACAATCAGATTTAGATTCAGAAGTCAGGTTTTGGAACAAGACCAACGTCCAAAAGTAAATAAATAACTACAACTTTGCGCCGAGCTTTACAGTCAGTTATTACTAAGAAGAAGAAGAAGATATGTAAAACAACACTCACCTTTAAGTAACGTTAGAGTGGTGGTACTTGTATTGTCGGTACTGTATGCATCTCCAGCAAGCCCATCTGTTTGATTGGGCTGGGTCATTGAGTAGAACTGTGTGACCCTGGTGTCCTCGCCAGAGCTCTGGAAGTCGGATTCATTTCTCGGGACACTGGTCTCAACAGGCGGTCTCTCAGCCATACACACCAACACCATTCCGATACTCTGTCTCAACGAAGTCTGGCACATTCTCAGCAGACACAACATAAACGCCAGGATCCAGCGACAAGATGTGAATTTTTGCACACATCCATTTTGTATACAGTTAGCGTGTCTTACCGCCATTACAGTATGTAGGTCGCCTTTGGGGATGTATGAGTCTGAACTGGTCGATAATCACGGGTTATTATGTCCTTTCCCAGCTGACGAGGTGAACCTTCACTGAAGTGTTTTTACGCGCTCCTTATTTTTCTGATATCTATCTAGTCTGCCTCTGCTTATATCATGCTTTGTTTTTTACTAAATGACCAGTTGAATTTTTGTGTTCGGGTTTCATGTACCTTCTATTTTTATATTGCCTAGTGTGTTTGTCAAATCTGCTTCTTTGTCCTGGTCTATTAATCTCAGTTAGTTTCTAGGACATGTAATAATATAGTTTTGTTCCACCTAAACCGTGAGGTGGCTACACGGACATGGTTAGCTCACGTCTTGTACTTCAGCTGAAAGAAGGTGACCTCCATTGTGAACTGAAAATTAAAAACAAAAGAATACATTTTATTAACTTGAAATTATTAACTTACTATGTAACAGATAATTAGAATATTAAAAAGTGTGAACATCCGTGGTTACGATCCGAGAATAATTTCTAAAACTGTTTTAGCAACAGCAAGCAGTCATTGACAAACAACTGGAACAGTTACTAAACACTGGAGGGGAGTTTGTCAAACAGTTAAGGACACGGGGATCTCATGCGGGAGACTCAAATTCGAATCTCCGGTAAGGTTGTAGGTTATTCTGTCAGGGGTTAAAAAATAAATAATGCCAACCCGCACAGTCCGTGGCGACAGCACTGGCTATGCGGCTCTAAATCACCCTGTTTACCACCCCCCCACCCCCCCCCCTTTTTCCAAACCGCAGTACTGCAAATACAGAAAAACAGATGGTACTGGCGATATTGTTAAAACAAAACATTGGACAGTGTCTTGGACAGGATAAATACAACATAACTTCCACCTGGGAATGTACCACCGCGGTAGATGGGACTTGTCAAAAGCAAAGTAGTGTGGCCAAGAGACAAAGCACCTTAATAATTGGAGATAGAAGAAGTGGTAAACACATCAACAGTAGACAGATCCTAGCTAAAGCAGCAGTTCACCAGAGTACACTCACTGAACCTAACTTGAACAAAACAGTGCAGCTCTAGTTTAGGAATTCGCTAGAGAATAGAACATATAGTTATATCTGCATAACTTAAGTTTTTATAGTTTTCAATACTTTTAATGTCCTAAATGTGCTGATTACTAATGGGAAAAGTATGGCGTCAATATTTCTACTTTACAGCCCGTTTGTATTAGGATAAGCTTGGGCCTTAATTATTGGCGCGTGTACGGGTTGGGAGTAAACTGAATTGCTAGATGTTTCTGTTTTCAGCTTAGAGTGTTAATGGGAGATCCCGTTTTCATCTCAGATTGTTAGTGCGATATCCCGTGTTTCGCCATAATGTCAGTGGTGCCCCATTTTCAACTCCTGTTTAATGTCCTGTTTTCAGCTCAAGATATTATGGTTACCCTCGAGGATAGTGAATGTATTCAAGAGTTTTAGATACACAGGCAATCTGGTCAACGCACAACAAACCGGTCACCCCTGAGGAGTTTCTCTTTCCCTGTGCCAGCCAACAATACACATACTGCCTAGACTGCTCCTTGTGAAATAAGTCACACAGACTGCAGTCTCGGCAAAGAAAATAGCATACACACGCATTAAATGCACAAGGCAGCTATCAGAAGTGCCAACGCCAACAGTCCGATACTAGAAAGGCAGTTCAACATCGATAGAAGCAGCCCAAAAAAAAAAAAAAAATCAGTAACTGTACGCGTAATTCATCGCATTAGGCACTACCATTACTTGAGCAACAGGTCATTAACCATTTTCTGAAAGTGCAATTGACAGCCGGCACAAATAGGTCGGCACTATCACAGAACCCTCCAAATCACATCCTCAGCTCACAGTGCCGCGCAGTGTACTTAGCTCAGTAGCTAGGCAACGAACTGTATACTTTCAGTCAAAATATGGGGAAAATAAAAGAGTTAACCATAGTTAGAAGCTAATAACTTGCCACGACTAGAAACAGTTTTAATATAACAAAATCATGATCATCGAGTATTAGAGTTCGATTTTCAGACGGTTTGATTTCTTTCAATCCCGGCGTTCTCGTGGTTTCTTGATAGTTGTCTGAGAGTCGCACAGCGGGACATTATAGGGCCTCACCAGATAATGTCCCTAAATACAGTAGGGGCTGGACTGTGGCCAGTCTGCATTGTGAGGACGACACAGGGGTCTCTTTAAGCAAGCCCCCCCCCCCCTCTCTCTCTCTCTCTCTCTCTCTCTCTCTCTCTCTCTGAGTGTGAGTGTGTATGTATGTGTACGCATGAGTGTGGGTGCTTGTATGTGTCTATACGAGCATGAATGCATGTATGTATTTGTATAACGTTTATGTATAAGTGTGTGTATACACGTGTATGGGTGTGTTGTGTTTGTTTACCCATGGACATATTAGAGTTTATATGTACGTGTATATTCGGTGTGGTTATGATTGTATATGTATTATTGTGTATGCATTATTTCATTATGTATATTTTAAGATAACATGCATCATTGATAACTTGCAATTTTGGTCAAAAGATGAGTACTTGAAAAGGCCGAACGTAAGACGGGCCTGCTTGCCCAGTTTGTAACCCTTAGAAAATAAAGTTTGTTTCTTCGATCGTTCGTTCTCTCCGTCTCTCCCCCCCCCACCCCTTTTTTTCCCCTCCATGTCTCTTGTTTCTCACTTTATCCCCACGACATTCCCCAGTAACCCAGATTTAGCCCAGGTCACCTAAAAGCTTGCATTCCAAAGCGACAAGAATAGCTAGCGTTTGTCTATTTCTAGGAAAACAGTACTCAAAATTAATCTAGGGTAACAGGGCTGTGTATTTTCAGTTGGGTGTAGAGAGGAGAGTTACAGCTACCATTTAACATATTGCTAAAACTATAACTTTTTCTTTGTCGTCAATTTACACGTAATTTCTTCGTTCTTATTTTTATTATTATTACTTTTATTATAATTCTCCTTCTCTTTCTCCTCCTCCTCCCCCTCTGATCAGGACTTTTAGAATTATCAGCTTTGAATTTATTTTTCCACTTGCTATTTAAATTTTTTTTTTAAATCATTGCTATGTTTTTTTTTTTTTTTTTTTTTGCCGTACATATGTTTTACTTCACAAACACATTTTCGTTTTTCTCTATACCCGCTCCTCTTGCCCAGTGTTTTCACCCCAGAAACAAGATGTCTATTCTACATGTTTGTTTTGAATCGTCCCATGTTTTATCTCACTATTTTGATAAATCATACAGTAACACCGACAGCCTTGTCTATGAAATATAAGTATAACCCTATACGCCTAATACGCCTAAGGGCACTGCTCTATTTTCAGTAGTGCTTATTAAAAATTAATAATCAATCTCTACAGCTAAAACAGTACCATAATTAAAATTAAATCACACATGTAATATTACCTTATCGCTTGAATGCAAACTAAAGTTGGTAGTATCACACCTTGCATTGACTCGCAATGAGCCGAAGCACATGCTCGCTGCATGATAGCAACGCTGAAAGTGCGACTAGCGTTAGTGGGCTAACGTTCCCAGACACCGTTGTGTTCCCGCGTTTATTGGGTCAAGGCAGTGAGGAAGTTCAGAGCTTCCCAAAATGTGGCCAAATCATAAGTGCCGGCACCTCAGGTCTCAGTTTACCTGAGCCCCCGCACCCCCCACCCCCCACCCTCCGCCGCTCCCACGTACTATTTTAATTTTAAACTAGAGAGATGGGAGAGGTGGGCTAGGTGGTGGGGTTGACACCATTCCTTGTGTGTTAACTTCTATGCGATTGTATAAAGGTTTACTGAAAATAATGGGGTTGCCCCTGACCTTTGATTAGTGTATATATATATCATTTGATATAAAATATGTTTCAGCTGCTATCATCGTCTGTTATTGCTGTCGGGAGGAGATCGGGTTCAATCCTTTGTAAGCAGATTTTCTTTTTCTGTCAGTGGTGAAAATAAATCCTATCTGCACTGTATGTGGCGACTGCATTAGGTAAGAGGCCTTAAATTCTGTCTCACTACCATTCTGTCCTACATGACACTAAAAAGAGGAAACAGCAACTGTTGTTGTTGTTTAATAACATATGAGATGACTGCCCGGTTTACTGACAGTACTTTCACAGCTAAAGAATCAAACACAGCTTCTTTCGTTCAATTCAACAAACAAAAACACCGGTTTGAAGAACCAGAGTGTCGGCTTACAACTTCGATAAAGTCCTGATAGTTGTATAAAGCACAATAATTATATTACTTACAACGAAACGAAAACGTGTTATGCTGACAGATGACAAGATGTCCTTATATGGCACCTTAAGTCAAATTTTTTGCTCCCTCCTCCCCCCCCCCCCCCCAAAAAAAATGACAGTGAAAAGAAAACAGTAGAGACCAGTGAAAGAATTGAAAACAACAGTAAAATTTATACTAGAGACAAAATGGCTGATATAGACAACTTATCTTATTCGGTCATGTGATGAGAAAGGGATCACTGGGAAATATCGGAACGACTGGAAAAATTACTGGTAGAAGAGGCAGAGGCAGACAGCGAAATTAAAGTGGATGGCTGAAGACAGTGGCCTGGAGGAATATCGTCAGTGGAATTGATGCAGAACACCAAAGATCAAGATCTGTGGAGATGCATGAACACCTACGGCAGCTGGCAAGGTACTTGATGATAATGATCTAAGGAGCGAGGGGAAGGGGAGGGGACATGACATTTGCAGTTACGGCCCATGAATGTGAACTGACAGTAAGATGTACAGATAATGATTTTTAAAGAATATGCAAAAGAAGCACTTAAAGTTTGACCCAGAATCACAGCATGCATTTTTTGTAGCAACATTCGCGAAGGATTTGGGGACACTGCAAGGTTTTTTTTTTCCTTTGGGCTGTATGCAAGCGAGAACGCGCCGGATACTTCTAAAAAATATATAAAATGGTGAGTGGATTTCCGTTTTTCGTGCCTTATGCAGTGGTGCGTCTGCAACTGCTATTGTGCAGTGGCTGCTGCTTCCATCTGTGA